TTATAGTTCAGTGACATTAAATATGATCATCATGTTGTTCAACCATTACCATTAACCATTCCCAAATTATAATTATATTTGAGCTGTTTTTATTTTATAGAAAAGAGTTCTTCACCAGGAAATAAAATAATAATACCCATATTTTCAACTGCCTTTATTAATATGTATCCTACTGACATCTCAGAATCAGCAGATCCAGAACTAAATTCATCATCTCTCCTTTCACTCTGCTCCAACCTCTTAACTTCCTCCTCTCTTTTTGATATCAGTTAATGGAACCATCATCTACCTACTGACCCAAACCAGAAACATGTAAGTCATCCTAGCCATATCCTGTATCCTCTGTATCTAGTCACTAGGCTATGCCCCCTTAAATGTATCTTGATCTCTTTACATTCAGTGTTTATACCTTAATTCAGACCATCTGTTGTACCCGTATTGTAATAGCCTCCTAGCTTATCTCCCTTCCTCCTGTATCACTCCACTCTACCCCAATATAATCTTCCCCAGTGCCTTCAAAATGATGTTTCTCTAAAATGCAAATCTAGTCATGTCACTCCCCTGATTATCTTTTCCATGGCTTACCATTAACTATATGATAAAATACAAACCATTATTGACATACAAGGTCTCATAATAGAGGAGTTGCCTAATTCTCCACCCTCTTGTCTTCCTCTACTTTTATGCTTCTGTTTGTCTGGAATTCCCTACCTCACATTATCCTTGCTAATTTCTATTTGTTTTTTAACACTCAAGTATTATCTCCTCTAAGAAGCCTTTTCTGACCCATATTCCTAGGGATGAATTGGTGTCCCTTTTCTGTATTGTCTATCCTAATGTTGCTTGCTGCGACTGTGTTATATTCAGCTTTGTACCCTGAGAATCCCAGTTCCTGGCACACATAGTACTGTATGAATATTAGTTGCTCAGTGTTTACTTTTGTATAACTCGTTGCTGCTACAAAGAACTTTTTTTTATTGTGCTTTAAGTGAAAGTTTACAATTCAAGTTAGTTTCTCATACAAAAATTTATACACACATTGTTATGTGAACCTGGTTGGTCTCCGTATACTGTGATAGCACACTCCTCCTTTCCATCCCGGATTTCCTGTTTCCATTCAGCCAGCTCCTGTCCCTTTCTACCTTCTCATCTTACCTCCGGACAGGAGCTGCCCACGTAGTCTCATGTATCTACTTGAGGTAAGAAGCACACTGTTCACGAGTATCATTTTATGTCCCATAGTTCTGTCTAATCTTTGTCTGAAGAGTTGGCCTCAGGAATGATTTTAGTTTTGGGCTAACAGAGAGTCTGGGGGCCATGTCTTCCGGGGTCCCTCCAGTCTCAGTCAAACCATTAAGTCTGGTCTTATGACTAGAATTTGAGTTCTGCATCCCACTTTTCTCCTGCTCCGTCAGGGATTCTGTTGTGTTTCCTGTCAGGGTGGTCATTGGTGGTAGCCAGGCAGCAACTAGTTCTGGTCTTGGGCTGATGGATCCTCTGGTTTATGTGGCCCTTTCTGCCTCTTGGGCTAATACTCTCCTTGTGTCTTTGGTATTCTACATTCTCCTTCACTCCAAGTGGGTTGGGACCAATTGATGCATCTTAGATGGCCACTCGCTTAGAAAGAACTTTAAAAAATTTTTTTTTATTGTGTTTTAGGTGAAAGTTTGCAGCACAAATTAGTTTTTCATTCAAAAAATTTATACACAAATTGTTTTGTGACTTTAGTTGCAGTCCCCACAATGTGGCAGCACTCTCCCCCTTTCCCTTAACATCCTGTGTTCTCAGTATCCATTTGTCCAATTTTCCTGTCCCTTCATGCCTTCTTGTCTTTGCATTTGGGCAGGTGTTGCCCATTTGGTCTTGTACAGTTGACTAAACTAAGACGCGTGTTCCTCACGTGTGTTATTGTTTGTTTTATAGGCCTGTCTAATCTTTGGCTGAAATGTGGACTTTGGGAGTAGATTCAATTCTGAGTTAGCAGTGTGTCCAGGGGCCATAGTTTTGGTGCCTTCTCCAGTCTCTGTCAGACCAGTTAAGTCTGGTCTTTATTATTATTATTATTATTTTGTGAATTTGAATTTTGTTCTATATTTTTCTCCTGCTCTGTCCAGGAACCTCTATTGTGATCCCTGTCAGGGTGGTTGATGGGGTAGTCAGGCACCATCTAGTTCTTCTGGGCTCAGGCTGGTGGAGGCTGTGGTTCATGTGGTCCATTAGTCCTTTGGACAAACATTTTCCTTGTGTCTTTGGTTTTCTTCGTTCTCCTTTGCTCTGAACATGATGGGACCAATAGATATATCTTAGATGGCTGCTCACAAGCTTTTAAGACCCCAGATGCTACTCACCAAAGTTGGATGTAGAACATTTTCTTTATGAACTGTGTTATGCCAGTTGACCTAGATTTCCCCCAAGACCATGGTTGCCAGCCCTCAGCCCCAGTAACTAGGTCCCTCAAGGTGTTTGGATGTGTTTAGGAAGCTTCTGTGAAGTTGCCTTGGTCAAGTTGTGCTGACTTCCTCTATATTGTGTGTTGTCTTTCCCTTCACCAAAGATAACACTTGTCTACTATCTAGTTAGTGACTTCCCCTCCCCAAACCTCCCCTGTCTAGTAACCATGAAGGATTGTTTTTTTTTTCTGTGTGTAAACCTTTTCTTAGGTGTTTATAATAGTGGTCTCATAAAATGTTTGTTTTTTTATGATTGATTTATTTCACTCAGCATAATGCCCTCCAGATTCATCCATGTTGTGAGATGTTTTGAGGATTCATCATTGTTCTTTATTGTTGTGTAGTGTTCCATTGTGCATGTATCATAATTTGTTTATCCATTTATCTGTTCAGGCACTTAGGTTGTTTCTATCTTTTTGTTATTGTGAATAATGCTGCAGTGAACATGGATGTGCATATGTCTATTCATGTGAATGCTCTTATTTCTCTAGGATATATTCCTAGTAGTGGGATTGCTGGGTCATATGGTATCTCTATTTTTAGCTTTTTAAGGAGGTGCCATATCATTTTCTATAGTGGTTGTACCATTTTACATTCCCAGCAACAGTGCATGAGAGTTCTAGTCTCCCCACTACCTCGTGAACCTTTTTATTTTGTTGTTTTTTTTTTAGTGCCAGTAGTGTCTGGGTGAGATTGTACCTCATTGTAGTTTTGATTTACATTTCTCTAATGGCTAATGATTGTAATTTCCTCATGTGTCTGTTAACCACCTGAATATCTTCTTTGGTGAAGTGTCCATATCCTTTGCCTATTTTTTATTGGATTATTTGTCATTTTGTTGTTGAGGTGTTGAAATAGTCTATAGATTTTAGAGATCAGACTCTTGTCGGATATGTCATAGCCAAAAAATTTTTTCCCAGTCTGTAGGTTGTCTTTTGGTGAAGTCTTTTGATGAGTATAAGTGTTTGTTAGGAGCTCCCAGTTATCTAGTTTCTCTTCTGGTGTTTGTGCATTGTTAGTTACGGTTTGTATTCTATTTTGGGCCCCTAGCGTTGTTCCTTTTTTTTTTTCTCCATCTTTATTGTTTTAGGTTTTATATTTAGGGCTTTGATCCATTTTGAATTAGTTTTTGTGTATGGTGTGAGGTATAGATCCTGTTTCTTTCTTTCTTTCTTTTTTAAAGATGGACATGCAGTTTTGCCAGCACCACTTGTTAAAAGACTGTCTTTTCTCCATTTGATGGACTTTGGTCCTTTGTCAAAATCAGCTGACCATAGGTGAATGAATTTATGTCCTGGGTTCTCGATTCTGTTCCATTGGTCTATGTGCCTGTCATTGTACTGATACCAGGCTGTTTTGACTACCATGCCTATGTAGTAGGTTCTGAGATCAGGTAGTGCAAGGCCTCCTACATTGTTCTTGTTCTTCAGTAATGGTTTGCTTATCTGGGGCTTCTTTCCTTTCCATGTAAGTTTGGTGATTAGTTTCTCCATCTCGTTATAGAATACTATTGGTATTTGGATTGGGATTGCATTATATCTATAGATCGCTTTGCGTAGAATTGACATTTTTACAGTGTTGAGTCCTCCTATCCATGAGAATGGTATATTTTTCCATTTATGTAAGTCTCCTTTGGTTCTTGCAATAGTGTTTTGTAGTTTTCTTTGTATAGGTCTTTTACATCCCTGGTTAGATTTATTCCTAAGTATTTTTTTTTTTTAGGGGCTATTATAAATGGTATTGTTTTCCTTTTCCAAGTTCTCTTTGTTGGTGTATAGGAATGCAGCTGATTTTTGCATGTTGATCTTGTATCCCACTACTCTGCTGAATCTTTCTATTAGTTCCAGTAGTTTTCTTGTGGAACCTTTGGGGTTCTCTATGTGTAGTATCATATCATCTGGAAATAGGGATAGTTTTACTTCTTCCTTTCCTATTTGGATGCCCTTTATTTCTTTTTCTTGTTTTATTGCTCTAGCTAGAACTTCAAGCACAGTGTTAAATAGGAGCGGTGATAAAGGGCATCCTTGCCTTGTTTCTGTTCACAGGGGGAATGCTTCAGCCTCTCTCCATTGAGAATGGTGTTGACTGTTAGTTTTGTATAAAAAACCCAAACCCATTGCCGTCGAGTCGATTCTGACTCATAGTGACCCTGTAGGACAGAGTAGAACTGCCCCATAGGGTTTCCAAGGAGCGGCTGGTAGATTCGAACTGCTGACTTTTTGGTTAGTAGCCAAATGCTTAACCACTGTGCAACCAGGGCTCCTTAGTTTTGTATAGATGCCCTGTATTATGTTGAGAAATTTCCCTTCTATTCCTATTTTACTTAGAGTTTTTATAAGGAATGGGTGTTGGATTACCATTCTTATAGGTATATAAGATATCTTGTATTTTTTTTTTGTAAAGAAAACAGTAAAGATGAAAACTAATAGAGAAACTCCTTTAGTCTGAATTTTTGTTTCATCCTTCTTGAATGTGGTGTGGTGATTGATATTTTTAAGTCCTGTATCATATAATTTCACTGAACTGACTTCTGAAATTTCCTTCCAAAAGGTTTCGCTGGAAGAAAAAAATGCAACTGTTGTTTATAATCCTAAACTGCAGACTCCAAAGACCCTACAAGACGCTATTAATGACATGGGATTTGATGCCACTCTCCACAATCCTAACCCTCTCCCTGTTTTAACTGACAGTGTGTTTCTGAGTGTTAGTTCTTCATTTGCTCCTCCATGGGACCATATCCAAAGCACATTGCTCAAGACCAAGGGTGTGACAGACATTAAAATTTCCCCTCAGCAAAGAACTGCTGTGGTGACAATAATCCCTTCTATAGTGAATGCCAATCAGATAATAGAACTGGTTCCGGGTGTTAGTTTAGATACTGGAACTCTGGAGAAAAAGTCAGGAACTTGTGAAGATTACAGTATGGCACAAGGAGGTGAAATCATGCTGAAAATGAAGGTGGAAGGGATGACCTGCCACTCATGCACTAGCACCATTGAAGGAAAAATTGGAAAACTGCAAGGTGTTCAGCGAATTAAAGGTAATATATCTGGTTTTGTTGGTTTGATTGTTTTGTAAGGCTTAGTTTTCTGTTTTGACCTTTTAACTTTTTGCTTTCTTCTTAAGCATGGGTTTTGGATTCATGGGACTTGAGTGGTCACTGCTTCATTGAAGTTTGAAGTTCAGTAAAGTTAATGATTATAATTAAAGGTTACATGAGTGTCAAACTGAAGTTTAGCAGAAAAGGCTGCTGGAATTGTGATTCATGGAGTTCAAGTTTCTTAACACAACATGCCTGGGATCCTCTTTACTTCTAATTTATCTCTACTCAGGCATGTATAAATATGGAGACCATAACCACAGTGGTCATATCTTTTACTTCTCTTCAGTCTATGTCAATAATACAAAGAGCCCTCATGGCGCAGTGGTTAAGTGCTCGGCTGCTAACCAGAAAGTCAACACTTTGAACCCACAAGCTGCTCTGTGGGAGAAAGATGTGGCAGTCTGCTTCTGTAAAGATTATAGCCTTGGAAACCCTATGGGGGCAGTTCTACTCTGTCTTATAGGGTCAGTATGGGTCGGAATCGACTTGATGGCAGTGGGTTTGGTTTTTTTGGTTATGTCAAAAGTATTTTAACAAAAGTATTTTAAGAAAGAATGAAGACAAGAATGAGAGAGAAACAATTATTTGTGGTATTGATTTGGTATACAGAATGTTTTCTTAAGTGGCCCAGGAATAACTGAGTTAAATGATTCTTTCTCTTTTTTTTAATCTAGTCTCCCTGGAAAACCAAGAAGCTACTGTTGTTTATCAACCTCATCTAATCACAGTAGAGGAAATAAAAAAACAGATTGAAGCTGTGGGCTTTTCCGTATTCATCAAAAAGCAGCCCAAGTACCTTACACTGGGAGCTATTGATATAGAACGTCTAAAGAACACACCCGTCAGATCCTCAGAAGGATCAGAGCAAAGGAGTCCATCATATACCAATGATTCAACAGCCACTTTTATCATAAATGGCATGCATTGTAAATCATGTGTGTCAAATATTGAAAGTGCTTTATCTACACTCCAATATGTAAGCAGCATAGCAATTTCTTTAGAGAATAGGTCTGCCAATGTAAAATACAATGCAAGCTTAGTCACTCCAGAAACCCTGAGAAAGACAATAGAGGCAATATCACCAGGGCAATACAGTGTTAGTATTACAAGCGATGCTGAGAGTACTCCAAGCTCTCCTTCCAGCTCATATCATCAGAAAATTCCTTTGAACATAGTTAGCCAGCCTCTGACTCAAGAAACTGTGATAAACATTGGTGGCATGACTTGTAATTCTTGTGTACAGTCTATTGAGGGTGTCATATCAAAAAAGGCAGGTGTGAAATCCATACAAGTCTCCCTTGTAAATAGCAGTGGAATTATTGAGTATGATCCTCTACTAAACTCTCCAGAAACCTTGAGAGAAGCAATAGAAAACATGGGATTTGATGCTGCCTTGTCAGGTAATTATTAACCTTTTCTTTGATTCCTCTAACATTTATTTATAGTTTGCTGATTCTGTTGGCTTTTATCATGGAAAAATGAATTATAGATACTCCAATTTCACTTTTTGGAAATAAGTCCTATGGAGATAGTTGCTGTATACAAAGATACATAAGTATACAAAGTTTGCATTATTATTTATAATATTTAAAAATCTAGAAATAATAAATCATGGTACATCCCTATGATGAAATACTGGGAAGACATAAAAAGCTGTAGCATTAAAAGATACTTAATGCCATGACAGGATTCCCTGAGTGGCACAGTTAAGCGCACGCTTGACTACTAGCTAAAAGGTTGGCAGTTCAAACCCACCCAGAGGTGCCTCAGAAGACAGGCCTGGCAATCTGCTGCTGAAAGGGTCACGGCCTTGAAAGTCCTATGGAGCAGTTCTACTCTGCACACATGGGGTTGCCATAGTTGGAATCGACTTGACAACAACTAACAAACAACACCATGGGAACGTGCCAGAGATACATTGTTAAATTAAAAAAAAAATAAAGAAAAAAGATGTAGATACAATATGATGAAAAATTTATAAAAATATGAATATAAATATATACCATCGATATAATATTTATGTATTATGAATGAACAAAATTCCTGGCAGGACACAAACCAAAATTTTAGGTTATCTTTGGGTCGGAGCCCTAGTGACGCAGTGGTTAAAGTGCTCAGCTGGTAACCAAAAGTTCAACAGTGTGAACCCACCAGTCACTCCATGGGAGAAAGATGTGGCAGTTTTGCTTCCATAAAGATTACAACTTTGAAAACCCTATGGGGCAATTCTACTCTGTCACTGAGCCGAAATTGACTCAGCGGCAGTGGGTTTTGTGTTAATCTTTGGGTGGTAGGATAAGGGTGATTTTTTTTTTTAATTGTACTTCAGGTGAAGGCTTACAGAACAAATAGTTTCTCATGAAACAGTAGTACACATATTGTTTTATGACATTGGTTAACAACCCCACAACATGTCAACTCTCTCCCTTCTCGACCTTTTTTTTTTTTTGGTGAAAATATACATAGCCAAAGATACACCATTTCAAAAATTTCTACATGCACAGTTCAGTGACATCGACTACGCTCTTCCAGTTGTGCTGCTATTCTCACTTTAGATGAAGGCTTACAGAACAAAATAGTTCCTCATTTAACAGTTAGTACACATGTTGCCCTATGACAGTGGTTAACAACCTCACAACACATCAACACTATGCTTACTCAACCTTGGGTTCCCTATCACCAGCTTTCCTGTCCTCTTCTGCCTTCTGGCCCTTGTAGGATAAGGGTGATTTTTGTTTCCGTTGTGCTTTTCTGTGTATTCCAAGTTTTTTGTAACAAGTATGTATGTATATATGTATTTATTTATATAATAGGAGGAATTAAATTTTATTTTACAAAGAAAAAAGATAGAAATAAAAAGATTTTAGCTGTAGTTTTAAATTTAGGCCTTTAAGTTAAACTGACTCCAGAACTGACCCAGAGTCTTCATATTTCATGGCAGTTCTTACCCTTGAACTGAATCCTAAAGTGTATATTCAGTGCAATTTGCCTGTGTGAACTTGTTTTGAACTAGAGTTGAACCTAACCTTGAATTAAAGTGAAAAATACTATAATGAAATTTCTTGGTTTAAATAACAGTTGAAAGTTCTATAACTAATTTCCAGACAATGTTATTAATCTTTGCTATTCTGATTAGAAAGGATATCAAATGGTAATATTCCCTTTTCAACCTCACTAAAACTGACGTGCATAAAAATTATGTTAAACACGCCCCCAAATTATTATGATAGATCCATGTTAGTGGAAGAGGGCCCATAGATGTACTTAATAATTCCTAATCTTCATATTGTTGACAAATGGTAAAAATTATAGAATCCTCACTCTTTAAAATTGACATATAGTTCACATAACATAAAATACACCCTTTTAAACTGCACAATTGAGTTTTTAATATATTCACAGAGTAGTGCAGCCATCACCACTATCTAATTATAGAACATTTTCATCACCCAAAAAAGAAATTCCATATATATTTGCAGTCACTCCCCATTCCCCCTTTGCCCCAGCCCTTGGAAAACACTAATCTATCTCTATGGATTTGCCTATTCTGGACATTTCACATAAAGGAAGTCATACAATATTTAGCCTTTTGTACCTGGCATAATGTTTTTGAGGTTTATCCACATTGTAACATGTATCAGTATTTCATTCCTTTTTATGACAGAATAATATTCCCTTGTGTGGATATACCACATTTTGTTTACCCATTCATCAATTGATGGATGTTTGGGTTGTTTTCACTCTTTGGCTATCATGAATAATGCAGCTATGAATATTCATGTACAAATTTTTCTGTAGAAATATGTTTTCAGTTTTCTTGGGTATATACCTAGGAATGGAATTGCTGGGTCATATGGAAACCCTGTGGGGCAGTTCTACTGTGTCCAATAGGGTCGCTATGGGTTGGAATCGACTCGATGGCAATAGGTTATGGTAACTCTAAATGAGCCCTCATTTTGAGGGCTCAAAATGAGACAAAACAGCTAGAATCATCCATTAATCATCAGAACATGGAATGTATGAAGTATGAAGCTGGGAAAATTGAAATCGTCAAAAGTGAAATGGAACACGTAAAGATCAATATTCTAGGCATTGTTGTTGTTGTTAGGTGCCGTCGAGTTGGTTCCAACTTATAGTGATCCTATGTGCAACAGAACAAAACACTGCCCGGTCTTGCACCCTGCTCACAATTGTTGTTAATGCTTGAGCCCATTGTTGCAGCCTCTGTGTCAATCCATCTCATTGAAGGCCTTCCTCTTTTTCGCTGACCGTCTACTTTAACAAGCATGATGTCCTCCTCCAGGAACTGGTCTCTGCTGATAACATGTACAAAGTATGTGAGATGAAGTCTCACCATCCTTGCTTCTAAGGAGCATTCTGGCTGTACTTCTTCCAAGACAGATGTGTTCGTTCTTCTGGCAGTCCATGGTATATTCAGTATTCTTCGCCAATGCCATAATTCAAAGATGTCAATTCTTCCATCTTCCTTATTTGGTGTGCAGCTTTCACATGCATATGAGGCAATTGCAAACACCATGACTTGGGTTAGGCACACCTTAGTCTTCAAGGTGACGTTTTTGCTTTTGAACACTTTTAAAAGGTCTTTTGCAGCAGATTTGCCCAATGCAATGCGTCATTTGATTTACTGACTGCTACTTTCATATGTGTTGATTGTGGAGCCAATTAAAATGAAACCCTCGACAACTTCAATCTTTACTCCATTTATCATGGTGTTGCTTATTGGTCCAGTTGTGAGGATTTTTGTTTTCTTTATGTTGAGGTGTAATCCATACTGAGGGCTGTAGTCTTTGATCTTCATCAGTAAGTGCTTCAAGTCCTCTTCACTTTCAGCAAGCAAGGTTGTGTCATCAGCATATAGCAGGTTGTTAATGAGTCTTCCTTCATTCCTGATGCCACGTTCGTCATATAGTCCAGCTTCTCGGATTATTTGCTCAGCATACAGATTGAATAAGTATGGTGAAAGGATACAGTCCTGACGCACACCTTTCCTGATTTTAAACCACACGTTATCCCCTTCTTCTGTTTGAACCACTGCCTGTTGATCTATGTAGTTTCCTCGTGAGCACACTTAAGTGTTCTGGAATTCCCATTCTTTGCAATGTTATCCATAATTTGTTATGATCCACGCAGTTGAATACGTTTGCATAGTCAATAAAACACAGGGAAACATCCTTCTGGTATTTTCTGCTTTCATTAAAGATCCATCTGACATCAGCAATGATATCCCTGGTTCCATGTCCTCTTCTGAATCTGGCTTAAATTTCTGGCAGTTCCCTGTGGATGTACTGCTGCAACTGCGTTTGAATGATCTTCAGCAAAATTTTACTTGCGTGTGATATTAATGATATTGTTTGATAATTTCCACATTCAGGTGGATCACCTTTCTTGGGAATAGGCATAAATATAGATCTCTTCCAGTCAGTAGGCCAGGTAGCTGTCTTCCAAATTCCTTGGCATAGATGTGTGAGCACTTCCAGTGCTGCATCCTTCTCACAGTGAATATCACCATAGGAGAATTCATAGGGCTGGAACTATGGTGACTCATATTATTGGGATAAAAGATTGATATCAAATGACTACATTCTGTGGTTCTGCTGGAGATCAATTAGTGTTTAAGATGCCACCAGAATTAAGGCTGCCAATTTTCTGAGTGTCAGTGCTGACCCAGACCTCACTATGACTCATTCTCAGAGAGGGATCCATACATTTAATCTTCATCTTACACTAGTCCTGGGTCAGCAGTAAATAGTGAAGAAAGTAATGAGGAAAGTGGAAGATAGTTTTTTATCAATATCATCATCATTATCTAAAAGTAAAAATACATATAATAACATGAAATTTAAGTCTTTACTAATTAAAGCAAATAAAGCACTCAGCTGAAGTCCATCCATATTTGAGAACTTTTTATTTTTAACCAATTTCAAACTTACAGAAAAGTTGCAAGAATAGTACATGGAAATCCTGTTTACCAAATTCACTCAGATTCCCAAGTTGTTAATGTTTTATTTTACCCTATTTGTTTTATCATTATCTCTTTCTCTGTCTTATCTAGATACACACATATAATTTTTTGAACCATTTGAGAGTAAGATGCAGAATGATGTTTATAATTGTTTTTAAGCCATTTTCAGATTATGTGTTTGTTCTTCACATTACATCAGACTCTGAACCTGCCAGTTTTGAAGATCTGATTGGAAACAGTTTCTTGAAATTTTTGGAATCTTTTCTGGTTGTTACCTCAAGTGCAGAAAACTCAGCCTTCCTTTTGAATTAATTTAAGCATAAGTATTGATGTTACAGCCTGTAGAAAAGCTAAATAAAGAAGCAGCCATTTAATTCATTGTGACTTTTTAACACCTTCACTGCCTCTTTGGAAGAT